AAGAGTGGGGTAAGTGTGAGCAGTTCTTGGGGCATTCAAGTGAAGGAGTCCTCCTTTGCATGGAACAGATGCTCGAGCTAGATCCAGCGCTAGCAGCCCATATTACCCAGGAGAATTTTGTGAGCCTGTGATACTGTATAATAAATGTCATAGACTCCCAGTCCAAAATCAGGCTGAAAAAGCAGATGCAGAAGGTGAAATGCATACGCAGAGGGCTAAGCTACGGGCTTATTTTGAATGTAATAAGCAGTTTTCCTACTGTATAAGAAATATCAATAACATATTTTATTGTTTTAATTCCAGGGTGGTGATCCTAAGGAGACAATTTGTGTATATCTCAGCAGTTCGGTGTTGGATTTGGTCTGATGTGGTTTTGTGAGCATTAAACTGCATTATTACAATAGAGAAATATTTTACACTTGGGGAGAAAAGGAAGTGATTTTTCACACAATGACTGCTACATTTCCGAATTTTGAGTAATCGTTTTCTTAAATACAAAATCGCATTTATTTCGGAAATTCTGAAACTCCTGACTATTGGTTTAATTGTAGCAAAGCACAATCTCAGGATGGTGGCAATATGTGACGCTCATCATGTTTTGCCTTTTTAAAGTATCATTAAAACATTTTGACATAAGATCTCTGGTTTTGCCACTATCATGTCATATAGGCAATGGTCTCTGTATGGTAGCCACATGAGTTGGCAGTGAGCATTTTCAGTTAAGAACCTGATCCTGTGAACACTAGCATTTGTCTACATGAGAAAGGTGATCAGAATAGCTACAGAGGAGTAATTAGTTCAGAGCCTTGTCATTCTTAGTTTGTCCGAGGGTGCACAGATGAAAAAAATCCCTCAGGTTCGAGATGAGTCAAGTCGTTTATGGGCCTTCATTTTGTGGGCAATAGATCATGCTGTGGATTTAATGGGATCACTCATGTGAATGAGGTTAGTTTTGTGAACAAGTATTTGAAGGACCAGAGCTGTATGATTGTTTTTAAACCCCCTTCTTGCTTGTGTTCCTGTCTAAGGTCCAGTTCAGCTCCAAATGAGGACAGTAAACTAGATTCCATGCTGCAATCCCCAGAGTCCTGGCAGGGCATGACTTTGCACACATTCCTGCAATCCCAGATCTCTCTCTCAGCTGACATATGAGATGGACCATTCGTTAGAAAAATGATCTGTACCAAACCTGTCATTTCTTCTGTTTATTTTTCACCTAGCATAGCTGCTATCAATATGTGACTACAGACAAGAAAACTGCACTAAGCGTTATTAGAATGTTCCTCTCACAATCAGCCTCAAGATTTTCTCCTATACCAGGACATGTTAGAAAAGAACCTAGAGTCACTTAATTTAAACCCATGCAATTCTTGTGCTTCAGATTTCCATATGGTCCAGGAATACCTGTGGAGCAACATCCCCTGACAAGAGAAAGTGAAATATCAGCCCAATGGAAAGAATCACATGAACATTTACAGGAGCTATGACAAGCAGTTGTTCTCTAGCTATGGCTGCTTGTATGTTATTGCTTATATGTCTTACTGCAGGGAGAAAAAAAATAACAAAACAAACAAACAAACAAAAAAAGTCTGTAATAACCATTTTCTGTTAAGAGTTTCAGTGGCTTTTTTGAGAGTCTCTTGAACGATCGGTTCAAAGATAGAGTGTCCTTCTTCCCCTTCTTTTACGGTCAGATACTATCGGTTATTTTGTTTACTAAAACTCCTTTTGTCACTGTAACATTAAATCCCCAATCAACTGATTTAAAGAGCATTCAGTGTTCTACCCATTGAGGATTATATCTGCAAAAAAATTCCTACCTAAATGAATTGAATCTTACAAAATAAGGTTAAAAAAACCTTTTAAACTGATACTTTAGAAAAGCATTTCTATGTTGTTGTAATACTTGCAAGCTTACCTTGCAGCAGTTTTATAATCACATAAATAGTCCTGAAAGTGTTACACTCAGTCTTTATGGTTCCAGGTCTGTTAGTTGAGACTCATTCAGCATCTTGACCCATTTCCAAGATAACAGTATCAGAATCCAATACTACTTCTACCCAAGCAGAAGTGTCCATAAATCCTTGCTGCATATATCAGCAATATAGTAAATTTTTACAAAATAAGGTTTTTAAAAAACAGATAGTGCTTTAGGGCATTGACTGACGCTGCTAGTACACGACTGGACCTCTGCATATTAGTAGGGCGTTTAACAGAAACAGAGACATCAGAGCTGAGTCGATGGGTACATCTGTGTTACCAGCTGGTGACTGAAAGAGGTGAGCACAAGGGTTTGAATTACTGTGATCTGTTATGGTTCCAGCACCACACATCCACATTTTGTCTTCACCAGCAGTGAAATTTGTGCCAGTTCCTGGCTGCAAGCACCTGCTGCTCATGTGCAGAGAGCTGGCTGCTGCAAGACCCCGCATCCACGTTAGGAGTGTTATGGATGATTGCCTACTGCAGGACCCCTAGTTATAGATCAGAGACAAATCTGCTCCCAAAAGAGCTCCTCTGATGCTGTAGATCACTCACATAGATTGTCCCTGAGTGTTTGTAGCTGGAAGCTGTGCAAAGTGATGTGCTTGTTGTCTTTTGGGTGATACAAACAGCCTAGGTTGAGGAGAACCACGCCATATTTCATCCAGAGAGACAAAGCCACACCTGTGTTTAGGCAAGGACTGTAACTTATTCCAGTCTAGGGTGGTGCAATGAGATGATCTTGGCTGTGTTGCAGCTACGTGGTTTGACTTGGAAAAATTCATACATCTTTTAGAGATTGAGAGGATCTTGCATTGTATCTGCAACAATTGCAAGTGCTGTGTGTGTATGTAGAGGTGATGCAAAGGGTATCATTCATTGCTCAAATTAAGTTCAGTGAACTGCACAGCGTGAGTAAAGTGGCAAAACCTGATTGTGTGTAAATAGAAGACATGAAGGGGAGAAAATGAAATTTATTTGCAGTGGAGAAGCAACTTTTTCAAAAGTGTTTGTTAATTAGCACCATATTGCATTATCCCAGTGAATAAATGTATAGAGCGTACCATGACACACCATGAAGAGCTGAAGTTACTATGTGTCTGGACTATTTCTGTGCAGCTGTGTTATTTATAACACACATGTATTAGTAACTGGAAAGGTTATTGGAATACCTTTTAAGAGAGGTTTAGCCAAAAGACAAGAAACATATTCTAGTTTCCTTGACAGGAGGAGCTCTGAACAGAATGAGTGTGATGTAGTACTCACAAATGAGAGCAGATGGAAAGCTCTGTGACATGGACAGACACTTTGACTTTTTAGCGCTGTTTCAGCGAAGTTTAAGCTTGCCGTTGACCCTGAAGATCTGATCCTCTATGCTCTCCAAACTCTCAGTGATTTGTGTGGAGCACAGGACTGACAAGGAACGCGTGGAGGAATTGTTAACCTTTCCTGCCCTTTCTTACAAGTACTTTTAACTCCTCATAGACTAAAAATATGCCTTATTAGACATTAGGTTAAGAACCTATTTTTAGTGTAGCTTTCTCAGGCCTTGCTCCAGACATGCAGTTATTACGTTAGTTGCATCTGCTTCACTCCACAGGAGTGCAGACCTTGTGTGTGGCTCTATTATAGCTACTGCTGCTGTGTGCTTGGTGGCTAGGTCGTGTTAATTTGTGCACAGGCTGGGCAAATTAATAGCGGCATTTCCGTGTAACAGGGTACAGTTAGAAAGACTTGCTGAAGTACACTTACTGTGGAAAAGGATGTTTTCTCAGGTAGCCAAATAAATTATTTCTCTTCTATTTTACATCTGTGATTTCTCATTTATTTTATGTCTGTGCCAGGTTCATGATGAATAAATGGATTTTGTACCCAGCTGGGAATGTTTATAACACTTCGACAAGACTGAGCCAAGTGCAGTTTTGATTAAGGATTCTTGACCAAAGGTTAGAAAGGGCCTTTCAGTTCCATCTATTTCACATGAGGAATAGTCATTTTTAGGGTTTGTGGGCCTCCAGTGCTGTCACATGCCGTGGAGTGAATATTGAGATTAAATAGTTTTCTAAAGATAGAAACACTGACAACATACTAATAGTTCCCCTGTACCTTTGCAGAGGCTGACAGTGTCCTTGCACATGACTGCTTCACAGCATCGTTAGATTAAAGCCTAGTTGGCTGCTTTCATTCCTTTTTCTCCTCTGAATCTTTAATTTTGCATCTTCCTTTAGCATCCAGTGCTGCCTCGAGTTGGTAATTTCCCCCTGTGGGGCATTGTGTAGTCCTGTTTAGTGTCTGTTAGGGAGTCTGTATGGCTGTGAATCAAATGCTGCTACGCTTGCAGCATAGTAATACATACTTAAAATGGCTTGGATTACATCTGGGGAAGGCAGCATGGTGGGATATTCACATTGCCTAAGTGGAGGTGCTAAATTCGGACTGTGGCTCCATGGTGACCGAAGCTGTAATGGCTGGCTACGCAGTCCAGTCCTTGTTCTTGCGCTCCACCCCTTCCTTCGTGCCATCTCTGGCTCCTGTCTGATCCTGCACTGAGCTGTTCTGGCACATTGAGCTGGCAAAAACCTGACATGGCAACAAAAAGAGAAAATTGGTTCATGCCAACAGAGCCAGGGGAGTTTCAGAGGAGGGGGTGAGACCGTGCAGGTGGGACTGCAGGGATGCAGCGGGGGCCGCTTGTTATCTGAGGGCAGTTGGACAGGCCCAGTGGTCCCCTGGAACCTCAGCCACGTTGGGAAGGTAACGTCTCCGAGGCCCTCCGCGATCCGAAGGGAGCGATGAGCTCCTGCAGGAGCCTGTCTCTCCCTGCGGTGACTGAAGGTGCCTCGGGACTCTAGGTGCCTACACTGGTGGATTGTTGCTGCCCCTTCTCTTTTTCCCATTGCAGTCTATTTAACAAGCTGTCCACCATCTGCAGATTCTGAAATGATAACCGTAAAAAAATCTTTGCCTGTAAATACTATTTCTCAGTTCACTGATAGTAAACTTGCTTGTTATTCAGCACACCGATGTGTTCAGTCTCTGCTAATCCCAGCATCTCACACAGCATTGGCAGGCAACAGAGCTGTGCAAGGTCTGGCAGTTTTGAGACCAGTTAATCCCACTTTGATTCTCTTTCCTTTGTAGAGTAGTGAGGTGGCTGACTGTACTGCCATGCCCAAGTCAAGATGAGATTCTCTGTCCTTTGCGATTCAGGAAAAATGCCTAAATGATCTGGGTGACTTAGCACCTTCTGTGGGCTCCCCAAGCTCCCAGAAAAAAATAATCCTGTTGTTATGTATTATTTGATTTTATCCAGTGCGGGTATCTGGATTAGTTAATTGGTCTGGGTTAATTGATCACTTAGACCTTAACCCTGCAGAGACTCTGTGGTGGAGCTGCGGCCTGACACAGCAGTCTGGGTTTAAAAAACGTTTGACCTGGAGATCTTTCTCTGTCCTGTCCCTCGCTCTCATGTGACAAATCTGTGGAGTGAGATCCTGAACATCCATCCGTGCAGTAGCTCCTGCAGGGACTCTTGGGTCCACAAAGCACAGGTCCACTTGTCTGCAGGAGTCTGCATGAGATCAACCCAAGGAATATTTTGTG